AAGATATCTCGTCCTAGGAGGTTTGTAGCAATATCTGCAATTAGGGGTCTTATTTTTCCAACTTCTCCATTAGGGTCTTCCCATTTATAGGAATTTTTAGTGATAAATGTTTGGGAGGCTCCCCCTACCCCTATTAGTTGGGGTCCTGGTATCAATTCCCAGTGTGGAGGAACCTCAGATTGCTTTAAGATGGTTGTATCAGCTCTAGTATCAAGGAGGCATTTGAAAGGCTTATTGTCTATTTTTATGGTTAATTTTGGATGGGCACTTTCTGTAATACTGGTTACCCACAATGTTTGTGGTTTCTCTCTTGTTAGCGGGGTTGAGGGCTGCCCCTGAGGAAGTTTAAAGGCGGCAAAGGCTTGCCATCCCTGTCATTTTTAGAACTACAATCCTTTTTCCAGTGATAACCTCTTTTACAGTGAGGACAGAGAGTTTTAGGGGGTCGAGTGGCAGCTGAACTGTTTTTTGGGCAATCTTCATTCCAGTGTCCAGTTTCTACACATTTAAAGCATTTTGAGTTGGTTTGGGTTGCAACTACAAAGGCTTGGGCAAGGGAAGAGGCCTGGTATGTGGTAGTCCTGATGTCATGGGTGGCCACAATCCATTTGTCATAATGTTCATTTTTTAGTCCCTGGCATGCTTGTCTGTGCTCAGGGGTCATCCCTTCCCAGACAAGGCTGTTTAAAAGCATTGCTTTGGCTACAGGATCTGTTATTTTTCTATTTAAACTGGCTTGTACTCTTAGTATAAAGTCTGGGAGAGCCTTGCATTAGGCACTCATCTCTAAATAAGGCTTCCCATTGTACAAATAATGGACTGGGGAGAGTGGACCCACAGATGTCTCTCCAATCTTGGGGAAGCAGGTTAGTATTATATGTCTGTAGTATGGATTTAGTCCAAGGAGCATGAATTCCATCCTCCCTCACAGCTTGACGCAAATCTTTTAACTCTGCTGCAGGGAGTGGATACCAAGCTAGGGGATGCTGTCTGGTTACTTGCAAATTGATAGGAAAAGCCTCTACTGGTGGGTTTGGGGGGTCCTGAGACTGCTGAGGCTGGAAATTTTTAGGCTGGCAGCTTTCACTGTCTCTAAGGCTACACAGCTGCTCTGTAGCTGGGCGTGGCTCCACAGGCGGTGGCTGAGCCTCAGGGCTTGGAGGCAGCCGAGGCAGAGGAGGAGGAGGGGAATTTACCTGAGAATCTTTGGAAGCTTTTGAAATTTGGGCTTTAGTATTTTGGCTTATTGAATCTGCTACTGGGCAATTTTTAGGGTCATTTTTGTCATCTAAAACCTCCTTTTTATTACTCTCTGGCATTTGTAAATTTTTCTCAATTTCAGGTGGGTTTTTTAAACACTGCTGGATGGCTGTCATTATTGGGAAGAAGGAGAGAGGAAAATTATGCTTTTCTTGGCTTTCTTTCTTATATGCTAAATGTGAAAGAAAGTTCCACACCTCTGGATCAGATATGTCTGCTGATAAGAACCAGGGTGCAAACCTATGTACTTCATTTCAAAATTTTAAGCTTTTCTCTTTTGAAATTTTAAGTCCTCTGGATTTGAGTAGAGTTTTAAGAGAACGGATCTGACGTTTTCTTTGTCTTGATACAGAATTTTTTGAACGGATCTGACGTTTTCTCTGTCTTGATACAGAGTTCCCCATTTTGAAGGAAAGATATTTATTTATTTATTATTTTTTTTGTTGTTGTAGTTTTAGATGTTTTTACAGCAGTCGGACACTAGAGGGCTGAAGCGCCTAGGCTGAGACTA